TCTTCAGCACGTCTGTTTGCTTATTTATTAATTTATTTAGAGGACAATCCCCTTGAAACAACCTGGTCTTGGTCATTGTACATCAGGATTGTGTTAAGACCCAAGCTTCTTGAGACTGCAGCAGAGCTTTACCATCATGCTCATATTGAGATTATTGTAATCTAAAGGGCTCATTGATTTTTCAATGTTAGGTCTACCGATAAATAGCGCAAACAGATTAATGGTAGCCAAATGACAAAGTAACTTAGTTATTATTGTGTTGTATTTTTTTTTTTGGATCAATTACCCAAAATGAGTAACAACCATTCATACTCAAGTGAGAAGTACATAATGCTTCAAACTTAACAGTTAGACAATAAAATTAAGGCATAACAAATTTTCAAATAGTTTGATCGCTAGAGTTAGCACAAATATAATAGTATACGTAGCCATTATTATAATGATTTTTCTTATTATTATTCATATTAATAGTAGCAGTAATGTTAATATATTCATAATGCATTTTGTTTTAATTGTATAATGATTACTTTTATTGTGTCAAAATGCAGAAATAATAATAACTTATTATTATATTAATGAATAATTGTTATTATATTAATGACACTTATTTAATTACTATTAATAATAATGATATTATTTTTTTTATCATCACCCATTTTATTGATTTTATTATATTTATATAAATATAATAAATTTATATTGTACTAATGAATTTACATTTAGTAATTTAATTATTATGAATAATAACACGTATAATATTATTGTCATTATTATTAATTGTAATAAAATGCATTATTATTATTTTAATTAATTTCAACAACAGTTATTATTATTATGATAAATTATTATTATTATTATTTATCATTACTATTATGTAGCATATATATACAGTGAGTATAGAAAAGAATTCTGGTTCTTTCTGTTTGTTTTTTTTTCTGACATGTTGGTGTTATATCTTTCACTTGGGCATTATAAGTTGCACTGAGTAAATACAGCTGGATAAAACAAAAACTGTGTCCATCTGCATTTCAGGCTGCAAAGTGTAAACCCCAAAGATCATGCATGATTCTACGCAGACGCTACAAAAGCAACAAAATGTGATTATTTTAAAGCGGGGTGATTTTTTCTGTGTGTGTGTGTGTGTGTGTGTGTATATAGTGAATTATATTAAATGTAATTATTAGTAATAGTAGTATTAAAAATATGTTCTGAGTAGTGCTACACAAGTTACACAAGTACATGCTAATATTTTAGAATATTTAGTAAACACTTAATTCTCTTTAAAGTGCTGACAAAACGTCAGGCCCTTAATAATTCCACAGCTCTGTAAGGTCTCTTAAGAATTAAATAGAGAACAAAAAGCTAATAAACTCAATAACACCTTGCATCCCCGGGGTCCTCTTATCCAAGAATTTAGCGCATCTAAATATTGTAATCACATGACTCAATTATTGGATGATATCAGATCTATCAGTAGTCATCAGTAATTTTTCAAGCACAACAAATCGGCATGTTTTTAATAGTTGAAATTAGCAGCCTTATCTCATTACACTTCTATCGTGAAGCCCATACGCTTTGCCCAGAGCGAGTTGAGTGAGTTGATCCACGCACATCTGATTTATTAGAGACACATTAGCATACACGCATGATTTTGACAGTGCAGGCCAGCAGCACTGCCAGTTCACTCTCTCTTCTCCACAAGACATCATCATCATGTCTTTGAAATTCCAGCCAAAACTAAAGAGTCAGGCTTGCCAGACCCTCCCTCACAAAAAAGTCCACAAATATGGCCCCTGTCCGAAGCCTTAACTCAAGACGATTACTTCTGTTCTCAATCAAACCGCAGCGTGTCCTCAGAACACCTCTGAAGAGACCTTAGTCAGGGCAGACTGCATAAAAAGGACAGACGGACACTCCGTTCAATAGGGTTTCCAGATTTCTGTCCTTAGGATTTGTTTTAATGCAAAGACATATTTTAAATGCTGCGTCATTTGACCAATCGAAACCCAGATACACAATGGCACCACCCATCAAACACTCAATTGTGGAAAATATTCAGGGCAAAAGATCTGTTTTATGAAGCATAGCTAGAACGTTTTCCTTAACATGCGATGCCTTAGGTTGTGTAGTAAACTCATGTACATTATGATCTCATATTGTGTTCAAAAACTCCAATGATCGTCTCAGACAACGCACTCTCGTGGCAATTCGTAACTAATAGTGGTGAATTCGTACATTTTCATACAATCTGCTTACGCCCCACTGTGGACCTTTATGCTTAGTTTTTTTCATCACACAAATTCATACAATTTGCCAAAACATAAATTAGTTGCATTTTCTCATGAGACTGGGTTGGCTTGAACAGGACATATTTCACAAGGCAACATGTTGGAATAATTAAAAAAAGATTTTTTGCACATAGTCTGATGAAAATAAATACATTTTATGTCATAAGTTCTAGTACATCTTTGTTGGAACATCTTGGCATTTAAACTGAGAATGACACTAAATGCTAATGAATTAATAGCCCTTTCGTTAGTTTAAAATATTATAAAAATGAAAAATGACACCATGGACTTGATCTCCACATCACACTTAAAAAAAATAAAAAAAACATCCTTTCCGAAGGCAATATTTTCATCCATAGTAGTTAAATAACTTAATAAACATTAAAAGAGAATATATTCAAACATAAAACCAAAAAATGAACTTTAGTCAAAGTGCTAAAGTCTGTGCTCCAACTTGTGCAGCTACTGGGTCATTAACCCAAGTCATTCACTGCATCTCTGAAAGCCTATTACACAAATGTTATTCCCCATAACATATCACTGCCTCCGTCTCAATGATAAGCTATGTGCAGTCATATCATCCCATAAGCGCCACTGTATCCTGTCCCTGGACTTTGGATGACCACAGTCAATGTGTTTACTTTCAAACAAAACCTATTTATTGAAGGATTGTTTAACTAGACCGAAGCAAAATGTTCTGTGTGCTCAAAGGTGAATAATCTTGACACAGGCCCAATGATTTTCCAATAATGGCCTGGCACAGACATCTACAGTTTCATTCTGATTGACGAAAGCCCTTTGTAAATTTATTCATATTACAACTCTCATTTTACATTTGCCACAATTACTTATAAATCAATCAACATTCATTTGTGTATTCATTTGAGTATTTATAAATGTAATTGTTTTAAATATTATAAAATAATAAATAAATAAATATACAGATTAATTTATATAATATCAATAATGAAGTATTAGTTTTAAAATGAAACTTATTTACTAATTATTTGTTCATTTTTATAAATTATTCATTTACAACAAAATAAAGTGAAAATAACACTAATTGACAATCCATTTTTCTACCATCGGAGTAATTCAAAAAGTATCACCTAAATGCAAAGCCCATTTTTGCTGTAGTAAGTACATCTGACAAAGCAGCCAAAGACATCCATCTGATGTACAGTATATTTACATAAGCAAAACTATTAAAAAATAGGGCAGACTAAATGCATAAACCACCTAGTACAGTTGCTTCATTTCACCTTGGATAGACTGTATGGCTGCACAATTAGTGGTTCAACGGATCACAAATCTCACGGTTCGGATCACATTACGGTTTTTGACCCACGGATCGGATCATTTTTCGGATCAGCAAGAAAAGAAAAATATTTCAATTTAACTTGCTTTCCATTTATTACTTAAAGCAAAGTACTTCTTTGATACCACAGCAAATACTACTAGATTAACTAAGAAAGTTTAAACATGAGAGACAAGAGAACAGCCAGTAAAAATAAGAACAAATACACAAATTACAAGCATAGACAAATACAACAGAAAATGTTACAAATTAAATAAGGTTGGTAGTATTCAAATAAAGAAATGTAATAATTAGGGAAAATAACACTGCATAGTGTTCACTGTATAAATTTAATATAGATTTTTATCACCTCTGTTTTGTTGTTTGATGATCATTTATGACAGCAGCAGTATTTTATGTGTATGTGTCTGTTCAGAGGATTCAGAAGAGGATTCAGTTCGGTGTTCGCGCGCCGTCTGAAACGCGTGTGCGTGCTTCATGTGTGTGCGGCTGTGCACGTAGAGAACAATTTTCTCTCAGGAATTGTTTAAAATTCGCTTGCTTGTGTAAATACGGACAAATAATAAACTTATACTCTATTATGGTTAAAATTTGCGATTAATCCGCGGATCACATGCGTGCCGAACCGTGGGGCTTGGTCCGTACGGATCACGGATCAACTACGATCCGTTTAACCACTATACACAATATATCGAAATAAAATCAATATCACAATATGGATTTGTGTGACTGTCAAATGGCCCAGGCAGCCATTTAATTAAATTAATTTATGCATTTTCCAGCACGGCACTACACACATGTAGCTCATGATACAGTATTTCAGTGTCTGAGAATGGCTTGGTTCATTTACTGTCAGTCAAGCCATTCTGAGCCACTGACTGTATGAAAAAAAATACAATTATTTTGTATTAATCTTTTTCTTTTTCAGTATTATTACAATATATTTCTTATTATGTTTAATATCTTTATTTAATAATAATCACAACAATCTCAATTTTATAACCAATAACCACAATAAAATCATCACAATTACTATTTAACAGTGGGAATGTGGCCTATAAAAAGCTCAAATATATTTTTTAAACTCTGAAATGTTACTGAAAGAGATTTGAGATAGTGCTTGTAAAAAGTAAACCCAATTATGAATACACCACTTATTCAAATTTGTCCCAAAGCTTTGTGATTCATTCTTTTCAAATACAGTTATTTAATCATCTGGTGAATATTCCTGTTTTTATTCATATCAGAATATATTCCAGAAAAACAAAGTATTGCAATGTCAGTTTTTTTCCAATATCGTGCAGCCCTAATAGATCGACCAACTTGATTGCAAATCGGACTGCTGTGGCAATGTAAAATAACAAATGTTTTTGACGTGGTTGCGAGTGCAGTACCTGCAGTGAACAGCTCGGATCCTCTTGCGGACACCAGCCCGTTTCCACACAGCGAGCCCAGGTAGAGCAGACTGAGCGAGAGAGAGTAAGCCATAGCTTCTGCTGGCTCCCTGAGTGCACGGGGGAAAAAGAAAAATCATTATCAGTGGTGCTCCCGGATGACACCCCTCTGACAAATACTGAGCTGAAACCTCCTGAGAGCCCCAGGGCCATTGCCATCTCCACAGCTTCTCCAATTAATTTCCTTACTCTTTCACGCCAAAGCGTGTTGGCTGTTACCGCCATTAATTCTTAGCTGGTCTGTGTGAAACCCTATACGAGGACACCAGACAATTAACAACCAGATACTGCCTCTGCAACGCTCAGCACTTCCAGCCATATGTGTGTTTGCCATTATCTGTAGGTAACCGAGGGTCTTATGAGCACGCAGACAGTGTGGAGGATGCTTTCACAAGCTAATACTCCGCATTTACTATGTTAAACTAGAGATTCCATTATAAAATTATGCTAGGCTGACAGAAAACCTTTCAAAGTGTCAGACATTCATGCTATCTCAGCTAAAGGTTCTGGTGAAACTTCATCTCGAAACAGAATGAAGCATAAAGAATTTAAACTGGCTCCGACTTATATTAGTGCTAGATGTGCCACAGAAATACTGTTGACACATTGCCATCTTTCATTCTGTGATTTGTGTATGTGGGGGAGCTTCGTGATTTACACTTTATGCTTGGTTGAGTCTGTCGATGACCCTTGACTCTATTCCCTCACCACTTTTGGGTCTTATCACAATAATAATAAAAGAGATAATGGTTTGTCTGAAATGGCGATGACATTGTGACATAGTGAGAAATTACTGTCACAAGCATGTAGTCTGAACAGGTTGTATCCCGCTAGCTGAAGAGTAAGGCTAAAAATAAGTAGACTATATTTGTTTGGTCACCAGCACAAATCATAGAGAGGTCAGTGGTGCTTTGGGACTGATGAGTCTGATCTCAACAGTCCAACTAAACCTGTAGATTTATATAGACAGACAGCCTGATAGAAATGAAAAAAAAAAAAAACACTACTGATATGGTTTAAATGTGTGTCAAATATATGACATCAAATAAAATCTTAAGTGGACAATTAATAAATACAAGTAGCTAATAAACGATGTTTAGACTGAGCTTGCCCTGGTGTGTTTCTGGATCTAGTTCGATAAATGAGGAGTTCTGGCCTAAGACTTGGCTTCAAAGCTATTTTTCTTCTGCACTTGGCAGTGGATTGTTGAAAACAGCACCAGGCTCTAATTTACAAATGTGGCAAAATACACAGTCAGCAAATAACTGGCTTTGTTGCATTTGACCTGTAGCTTCACCCCATCTCAACATCTAACAATGCTAGAATAACAGCATGCAGGTTTCATAACCCTGTCTTTTTGCATTGTAAAATACTTTGGTATTTTAAATTGACATTCACAAAACTTAAATAAAAGCTTACGATTTACTAAAGTCAAATATTTTCTAAAATTATACTGTAGAGATGTTCTTGCGCTTTGGTCTCAAGTCTGGTACGAACAGAGTCAATAAATACACCTCAAACTCGCCTTGATCCTCCCTATTCTTCTCAAAGAGACGGCCCTTCTCAGTCAGGTAGTGGAGAGGCCCCAGTACTCACACGAATGCTGCTATCATACAGCAATAGAGTGTAAAATGCATTACACACGCATACTGACAGTCCAGTGCTTATTAGGTCTATGAGACTGTATTGCATTTAGTAAAGTATAATTAAGTACTATTATTATTGATAGTATAATAGTAAATGAGTTTGGAAATGTTCTTAATCTTAAAACTATATAATTAAGGGAAAAGAAGCACCATTAACACTATCTAGATATCAGTGCAAGACACATAACTCAAACAAATACTCAAATACTCACCTCAAATAATGTAGTAAACAGTATATATAATATAATATAATATAATATAATATAAGCAAAGTTCACTGTCTGTCAAAATTTCAATTATTAGCTACAACCCTAATAAAAGAATCTGGTGCTGGGATGCATTTCTACTTAAATGGATGACCTTTTGTGCTGAAGAAAGGTCAGAAGTCATAATTTTCATATCTTCACTTCATTTAGTTCACATTTGCAAACACAAAACTTCTGAATGCTGACTGTTGTAGGCTTCACAAAATGAACTACTAATTTAACAGGTCTAGAGCTCCGGCTAACAAGCAAGAGAGCATCATTCCTGTCAGGCCAACATCCAAGACTAAATTAATAACATCCAAAATTAGCAGTGAGTAATGCAAGCAGAGTTTACCATTTCAAACCTGTTGATCTCTGCTATATAATAAATGCCCAGAGTCACTGAGTCATACTTTGTTATGATGGTACACTCTGTTGTATTACAAATTTATAAAATGTTAAATCTAGGTTCCAATGTAATAGAATATATACTGAAAAAGTTATGTACCTTGTGTTTTACATTTTGAGGTAAAAAAAGGATGACCTTTCTAAGGAGATCAAATCAGGAAGCCCAGGTGTCTGAGATAATGACCTTTTGTCTTTATGCTCTTCCTGACCATCTGGCTTTTTAAGTCAAAGCACAGCTGATTCCTGTACTTCATTTGCATGCTATGGGTTACATTGTCTCCACCTCTACTGAATGTATCCCGCCCCCTTAAAATGTATATAAACTACAATGTATCACTACGTTAGTCAGACTTGGATGACTGCAGCGCACAGCGAGTCCTCAATAAAGAGTGACTTCTGTATGAAAGATATCTCAACGTCTCCCGGTCTCTGCTTCGATGAGGAAAAAGTTTCCTACAACTCCAAACAGGAAGTAATACTAAATCTGTGTGCGGTGATGTGCTTGCTCATAAAATGCTCTTAATGGCACCTATTTAGCAACTGTTTATCAGAACTCAGACAATCAAGCAGAGATTAAATCTGAAAGACTGACTCTATGTGCACTAAGACTAAAACCACTGTACCTTTCTTGGTTCAGTTGAACAAAGAAAAAAATATTAAAACTTTTCTGTCAAGAAAATAACATTTGGATTGTGATATTGTGTAAAATAAATATAAATGTTTCATTGCAGCATGTTATTTGCTATTTTTAAATGAAATAGTGTAATATCACATATATTGATTTAAATCAGCCATATCATCAAGATATCAATCCAACATGATCTCATGAGAATTTGTATGTATTTTACGTTGGCTAAAATGTGATTCTACAAAACGTACATTTACTTACGTTTGCACAGACACTAAAACGTACAATTCTGACTTATTTACAGCATCTAAACGTACAATATTGATGTATCGATGACAACTAAAACGTAACTTAACAGACTTACAATGAATCCTTATGAATATTGCAATAGCGGCATCAACATTTTATGTTGTATTGTATTCAGTTATCATATCAATGGAATTGGACGCCGAGGTTGCTTTGTTTCTTCTTGATAGGTGAGTTACATTGATTTTGCTTTTTCACACAACTATTCTGTGTTGGCTTTTGCTTGAATATGCTGCAGACGGCAGGCATAGCAGATTCCGCCATCGTCGCTGTCAGGGTTGTGTACATACATGTGGGGCGGAGTTATCAAAATAGGGGCGAGGTCCTGTTGGGGTATGGGCGTGTTTGTTTTGGTGCTTTCAAATATCAACATTGTTTGGCAAAAATCGCTTAGTGCATTTAGTCATTTAGTGATTTAATTTAGTCATTTAATAATTTCAAACTATGATGCGTGAAAAAAATGAGTGTTTCTTTGGCTTTATTTGAAAAAATATTATTCCCAAAGCACACAAACTTCTCAGATTACTGAGTGCCTTACTGGTTACAGTGTTTACTTCCTTATATATATATATATATTTAAATATTTATTTAATAATGAAAAATACAGTAATAGGATTACAGAATCAAGAAGTTGTCATATATATGTATATATACATAGATAGATAAATATCGGCCATTGGCCACCTTGCTGTCTAAGATATCGGCAGTCAAAAAACCAATATCGGTCGACCACTACTCTGCACCTCACTCAAATCTATTGTATTCCACCAGAGAGGACTGTGGTTGCAACACATCGTCATTTGGATATCTTTTGGTACTGCTTTTGGCATTTTTGCAATAAATAAATTATTGTGGTTTCACTTATCTGTCTGTCATGTTTCTCTTTATACGGTACATATCTTTAAGAAATAGTTATGGTTAGGTTTAGAGGTAGGAGTGGGATTAGCAATAATAAAAAATATTTGTAATGCTATATTGTTACTAAAACAGTCATTTCCCTGCATATTTCGGTCTATTACATTTTATAACTTTTTATATTCACAATAAAATGGGAAGGTCAAGGGGTCTAAAAATCTAAATCTCTTATCGATAAAATGATAAAAATGCATTGATACAAATAGTTTAATGATATAATAGAATCGTAAATATTTTACATTTATAAGCTGTAAATACGTAGCAATTTTACGTTTTAAATTTTGAAATACATCCAAATTGTACGTTTCAGCATCAATCAAAATGTACAAAAACACATGTTTTGTGCTTGTAAACGTGACGTACTTATACCTACCTATCAACAATGAGACCAGGCTGAGATATCAGCATCAGCCTACCCCTACTTGCAGTATGACACATTAAAAATTACTGTGGTTAACCCAATTTTTACAAGCAAAATGTGTTTGGAGGATAAAAACTTTTCAGATGTTACGTCCCTTTTGTTCTATTTCTGTGTTTTCTTTTGTTTTGGGAGGTTTTTGTTTGTCTCTGTCCAGGAAGAAGACCGATTGGTTCCTGCTTTCTAATTGTTGCCACGCCCTTCCCGGTCAGCTGACTCCTAGCTGCCTATAAAAGCCTCCTTCATCACTTACTGCATCAGCCTTGTGCTCACTTGCTGTGTTTGCTCTGCTTGACCCTGCTAGTTAGTTACAGGTGTGTTAGTAAGACTGAGAGTATCTTTGGGTGTTCTTTTGAGTGTTTGTCTGTGAGAGATTGAGTGTTGTTTGTTAGTTTGCTTAGCCCACTCTTTCGTTATACCGACCACCGCATGTTCTTTGACCTTGATTCTGGATTGCTCCTGTTTGGACCTGTTTGCTCACCTT